GCATCTAAAGAACATAATCTCTTGGTTGGACTGAGAAATCATTCAGAGACATTCGAAGTAGCCTCTGAGGATGTTCTGTTCTGTTGCAACTTCTGCGACTGATCACTTCTTCTAACGTCTTCAATCATTCTCGCAACGTCTTCCATCTTTGGCCTGGACTCTGGATTCCTTGAAACACAAGCCAACGCCAGCTGAAGCATTTGAACCATTTCTTCTTCAATGTTCTGAAACTTCAAGAGCTCGACATCGAAAACCTCAGCAGTCCACTCCTCTCTCACAACAGACCGAACCCATCTCGGAAGATCAATAACCACTCGCTCATCCTCAAGACCAGGCTGAGTTAAAGGTGTTTTCCCGGTTAGCATTTCGAGAAGTACCACACCAAAGCTATAAACGTCTGATCTTTGAGAGACTCTCTTCGTCTCAATCACCTCAGGAGCGTTGTAGCCGATGGTTCGAGGTGTGTGAGTCGGGAGGTTAAAGAGTGTGACTAAGCATGTGTCAGAGAGACATGGCTCGAGGTCTTGAGTGAGAAGTATGTTGGAGGATTTGATGTCTCCATGAACAAATTTCAATGAGTGAAGATAAGAGATCGCTTTCGAAGTCCCTATCGCGATCTTCATTCGCGTTTCCCAATCTACTCCTCTGCTTCCTGAAAGAAAAAATCTTTTAGGGTTTAAATTACAAAACAAGTTAGGGTTTGGTCTTATTATGACTTACCGTGCAAGATCCCGAACAAGCTCCCTTGCGTCATGTACTTGTAGACCAATAGCTTCTCATCTTTCGAATAGTAATAAGCGAGTAGCGGTACGAAGTTCGGATGCTGGTTAATCTTTCCAACAACCTCCAACTGTTGTTCAAACTCTTTCTTGCTCGCCACGACTTCTCTTAAACGTTTCACAACGACCGCGGTTGTGTCCTCAAGCACGGCCTTGTAGGCCGTTCCGAAACTCCCTTTACCGAGAACTTCAGCAGAAGCTTTCAAGAGATCCTCGAGGTCGAAATTGTGATTGCATCTCTCGAAGAAAAACAGCTTGTTCTTCTCTGGATCTTGAACCCCGCTCCCGAAATCTTGAGGTTTCTTGCTATTTACTCCACCGAGCTGCTTCCGCCCTCCTTCGCCGC